GAGGCCTCGGGTGACCCGAAGGACCGGCTAAGGGGTTCTGGGGACCCTTATTTGCTGCAGAGCAGAACCACCACCGAGACCCAGACCAGGGCAGATGTCCCTCCAGCCACCGAAAGTCCGCCTCCTTTCCTGACAGTCACATCAGTGCTGAAATCCAAGAGCGTGGTGGCCTGGCTTGATCATTTGTCCTGTTCAGGGGTCGCTCTGAGTACCCCCAAAATGATGTTCCTCATCCTCTGGGGGGCAGGGGGTGGCCCCGGAGGAGACTGGGACCTGCAGGAGCTCTCTGGGCACCTCCGCTGGCATGAGCGGCTCCCCGTGGAGAGACCCAGACACGCTGTTGTCTCGTGGGGTCTGTCGGGGAGGATAAGGTCGGGGACATGATGTGGTCGCCCTCCTAGGATTGAGTCCCTTCTCTGCTGGTCACTGGCTGGCCGGTGGGAGAAGGGCGTCCCCAGGGGAGACAGAGGGGCCTGAGGCTGGCTTGTCAGCTCCCCAGGCTCTGGGGCACTGGGCCTGGGCCTCCTCACTGGGACCCTGAGAGAGCTGGCTCGGCCGGCCGGCCGTCCAGCGTAGCAGGACCGTCTACGCCTCGCTTTCTTCTTCCTTGGGTTTCAGTTCCGGGAGAGCCTCCAAGTTTTGTCTCCGTGACCCCACACACCACCTCGTCTGTGCTGATCCAGTGGCAGGTAAGGCCTGGGACTCCCACCAGCTTTTGTAAAACCCCAACTTTGCACCAGCGTGGTCGGCTGGCACCTGATGGGCCCCGTGTCGGGGGTGAGAGGGGACAGAGGGGACACCCTGGGCGGGTTGGCACACCGTGCAGGGAGGTGGTGTCCAGTGTAACATCCACGACGGGACGAGCATGACCTTCGTGACAACCAGAATTAGGAGGGACCTGCAAGTGGGCAAGGAGGGCGCCCAGAGCACCAGAGGGGCTGCCCGTGCCAGGCCAGGGGACGGCGCACACAGGGCAAGGCTCCCAGGGCAAGACTGGCTCACGTCCTACAGGACTGTCATTTCTACAGAAATTATTTGCAACCAGACAAAATATCAACAGAATCACATGTGTCTTCTGTCAATTCCAAGTCTTCAGTCCAACCAAGGCACCATGTCCTAAATAATCAAGCACCCGCGGGCCGACGGCAGTGCTCTGACAGGGCGCGAAGGGACACGCAGCCCTCTCTTGGCCTTATTTCCAGTTCCAGGTCACTTCTGCTAATAGCAAGGTGCACTGGGGACAGAAATAACAGAGGGGCCGAACCACCAAGGAAGGCTGCCCAGTCAAGGGGCGCTGCTGGGACCTGGGGGAGGGCGTCCGGCCGGCCTGCAGGCTGGTTGCAGCAGCCGGGTGGAGCTGCGCCAGGCCAGCACACAGACTGATGGGCAGGGGCCCAGGGCAGTGATGAGAGCCCGATCCCAACTTCGGGCCAACAGGGACGTTCCTAAGTCCAGGATGGGGCTGCTCTCAGGGGCGGGGGCAGTGCCTACAGCCAGCAGGCCATAGGGAGGGCGGGCGCTGTGGTCCGGGTTCAGAGCCACGGCGAGCTGAGGGCTGCCTCGGAGTGGTCGCTGCAGGCTGGGGCTCCTGAGAGTGGTCTGTGTGGGCATGAGAGTCTCCTCCAGGGTCGTGGTGTCATCCAGACAACATAAGTGTCACGTCCAGAATCAGAGGAGGAAGGAAACGGTTTTGGAGGTCCCAGGAGGAGCAGGAAACCGAGGGTGAATGGTGGCCTGGATGTGGCTGTGGAGAGGGGAGAGGGCCTGTCTCGGCCAGTGGCTGGGCTGGCACAGGGAGAGACGGAGGCACGTAAAGGGGCAGGGACGCCAGGAAACCCGGAGGAGGCTCTCGGGAACTTGTCCCCAGTGGAACACTCCTCAGGGCCCAGGAGGGGACGGTCCTGGTGTGGCAGTGCCTTAGCCCTGCAGGCCCGGGAGGCAGAGCGTGCTGGACGCCCCGCGCTGGGGCCTGGCCGAGGGGTGGCTTGAAGGTAACCGGGAAGGACGCTGGAGCCTGGAGACAGGGCTGAGAGCTGGAAAAAGCAACGTGCCCCCTAAACGGTTGGGCGGCGACCACAGACTCACGCACGTTCCTGCTGCCCCGCTTCCCCTGCAAGTTGGTGGCATGGGGAAGCGCGAGGTGGAGTCATGTGGAATCCGACAGGTTTGAGGTGTGAAAGTGGCAACGCCACGTGGGCGACCTAGCATGACCCGCCACGCATCCGAGCATGGGGCACGGGGTCTGGGTGGACGGGGCTTCAGTTCAGAGGGCGGAGTCTCCTTTGAGAGGTGACCGAGTCATCCTGGGCCGCTCACCTCTTCTCGACGCTAAGGGACAGCTTCTCAGAGGTGATGGGAACCTTTGAAGGTGATCAAAAGACATTTCCAAATGTCCTCCTGGTGAACTGGGAATTCACCACAGTGATATTTTGCAATTTCTGGCCTCACTGGAGCGCTCGGGACTGGACGGGAACCCAGGACGCATCAGCCGGGGCCCCCACCCACTGCCTCGGGGAGCCGCAGCCCCAGCGCCTCTCGGCCCCAGGAGCGCCAGGGGCAAGCCCTGGTCTGCAGACCCCAGCATGCCGTGGTGTGACTCTGACCCCCGGAGGCCTCTCTGGCCCCTGGCTCGTCCTCTGTGAAAACAGGAGGTTGATGGTGACCCCTGAGGTCGCTACGAGATCGCTGATCCGAGGCCCGTTAGGCCTCTGCACCCCAGGCTTCCATCAGGGCCTCTGCTGGGAGGTGGGAATCATCCACAGGGGAAGTTCGAGGTCTCAGGCACTTCCATTTCCCATCTTCCGCTGGCACGGTCCACGGGAAGCAGGCGGGTCCTTGGGATGGCGCTGGAGTCAGCAGACCCATGTCTCAGCTGTGGGCGTGGGTCTGGCTGCCTGGGCGCGAGGTGAGCGCCTTCCCTGTGCAGGCGGCGCTCAGGGCTTACACGTAGACTCCTCCAGCTTTTCCACCCACTGTGGGAGTGAAATCACTTTCTGCTGCGATGCTGTGGCAGCCGTTTGAAGGGTGCCCGCCAGGATAAAGGTTTTGTCTCAGCTGTAGCTGTAGCTGTAGCTGTAAACCAGGACTGGAGCTGAGGTGGCAGCCTGTCCTCGTGAGCAGACGCGGCTGCGAGCGCATTGTGCCCCCCCCACACACACACGAGTTCTGTCTCCATCTGGGCCAGCAGCTCCCGCCCTGCCTCTCCCTCCAGTCAGCAGTAAGTGCTGAGCGACGTCTACCTTTACCACGTGGAAGCAACTGTCAAACAGGGGAGGGCAGTTCAGGAGAAAAGCCCTGAACGCCCGTCTGAAAACAGTTCCGTGAACTCTGAAGAGGCGGGTCTGAAAACAGACCATGTCATCAACACCCCAGTGGAAGCGAAGGCCCTGACACGCTGCCGCCGTGGAGGCCGGGCACCGTCGGGGACCGGGGCCCAGAGGCTGGCGGGCTGGGGAGGAAGTGACCGGAAGGCCTGCCCACGACACCGGGCAGTGGACCCTCACAGGGACTGCCCAGCATCTCCAACACTCAGGCTTTGTCCATCAGAAAAGGGCAAAATGGAATAAAATGGAAACCACACGGAACAGAGCCTCCTGCCTCCCCAGCACCCCCGCCCCAGCCGGGCCTCCCGGCTTCACACGTGTTCTCCCCTCCCTTCCTGAAGCCACTCAGCCCCCGAGTTCCCAGCTCACTGGTCAGTCTGGGGACCTGTTGGGCAGGAGGGCAGTGGGCTCTGCTGGAGAAAGTGGTCACAGTCATGGTTCAGCCTCAGGGGCCTGGACGAACGTGCCAGGTCCCGGGGCCCCGCGTGCTCTGCCGGTCACCTGCCCGCACCCACCCCCATCCCGGTTGCGCCCGGGGCCCACCTTCCCTTTTGTGTCAGCAGCTCTGCGACAGTGCAGCGACCTGTGGGTGGCAGGTGGCAGGCACTCAGGAAACGGGGAGGGAGCATGGTTGACGGTCATACCTCAGAAACGCTGGGGTCCAGTTCCAGCCCGCAGCAAGGAGAACCTGGTAGGAAAGCGAGCCACATGGCTTTTCTGATTTCTCAGTGAATTAAAGTTATGTTTACACGTTACTGTGGTCTATTAAGGTGCAGTGGCGTGTCCCAAGAAACAATGTATCCACTTTAATGAAAAATCCTTTATCGCTAGACAATGCTAGCCACAACCTGAGCCTTCAGAGTCACAGTAGTGACATCACAGGTCACAGATCACAGATCACAGATCACCACAACAAATACAATACGGAGAAGCTTTAAAGGTGCGAATCACCAAAACGTGACAGAGACACAACGTGAGCAAATGCTGGGGAAGAACGGCGCTGACAGGCTTGCTGGAGGCAGGGCTGCCACAGACCTTCAGTTTGTGGAAACGCAGCATCTGGGAAGCGCAGTAAAGCGAGGCATGCCCGTGCCCAGTTAATGTGCCAGACTGATGGTGATTTTTGAGATTCAGGTTTAACTGGATGCCCTGAGTCCAGAAGGAGCCCCTGGGTTCTGCAAAGGTGGCTGGAGCCAAAATGGAAAGGACTAGAGGCAGTGCCACCCCCTGGGGTTGTCTGTGCTGCGGTGGCAGCTAAGAAAGCCTGGGGTAGGGGGCAAAGAACCGCTTGTCCCAGGTAACAGTCCTGCCCCCAGACACAGCTCTCCCTGCACCCGCGGGAGGGTCTGCAGCCGAGGCATCCCAGTGCCCGGGAGCGTGGGGAGCTGGCCCCGGTGGGCAGAGGCTGGCCAGGCACCTGTGACATGCTGTGGGGACCATCAGCGTCTCAGACCTGGCCGTCCTGGGTGGCTCTCTGCCCCTGCACTCACACGCTGGGGTCTGATGCCCCTGGCCAAGAGGAATGCCCTCTGATGTGGATTTGCTGGGCTCCTGTGACAAGAGGGACACATGTGGACATGGCCAGTCTGCTCCAGTTCTCCAGGCGCACTTGTCTGTGTCCCGTGGGGAAATGACGTGCACCCCATGCTTCTCGTGGCAGGGGCGGGGGGGCATCACACGGGCCTCGGGAAGTGTCCTGGGAGGTCAGGGGCCGCAGCAGCCCCTCACTGCTGTGCCCCGGACGCGGCACGCGTGCGGGCAGCTCGCATTGTTGGAAACACCGTGAACACGGCACGGGCGCTGCCCCGGGACGCGTGAGGGCGCACGGCCCGCGGCAGCGCTCCCGCCTCCTGGCTGATGGGCTCTTCTGTTGGAGAGCTTGGAGAGCAAGGGGTCCTGCAGTGTCCACATCTGTTTGCTTCCTGACTTTCTGGGTTGTGCGTAGCAAGAGTTCAAAGAGAATGGACCTCTCTGAACAGCCACACCCACGTGTGCCTGAGTCCTGGTGTGAGAACTGAAGGGAGAGAGCTGGGATGGCAGAGTGAGTCAGCGTCCTGGACCATCCGGCGGTGACAGGTCACCACAAACTGGGCCGCTTAGAACCACAGGTTCATTCTCTCTCAGCTCTGAAGGCAGGAAGTCCAAGATCAAGGCGCCGGCTGACTCTGAAGACACAGGGAAGGACCCTCCCTGCCTTTCCCCAGCCTCTGGCGGCCGCGGTGCTCCTTGGCACTCCTTGACTCGTTGACCCGTCCCTCCAGCCTCTGCCGCTCCTTCATGTGGCCTTCTCCCCGTGTGCCCCTGTGTCCAGACTTCCCTCATCTTGTAAGAATATTTGGATCCTTTTATAATCTCGGCATCTGACAAATCATTGCTAGATTCTCTGTTGCGTCTTAAAGCTCACGTTGTCCTCACGGATCTGTGATGTTGAACATTTAGGTCCCCGTGTGAATTAACTGTCGTAGAATCTGACTGGTGTTCATGAGTCCAAAGTCTGCGATTATATTTGCAAGCAATTTGCTTTCAGTGCCCTTCAAGCATGAAGGCAGTTCTGTCATCATCCTGATGGCATCTGTGTCATTGAAAAGACCCAGAGATGATTGGTTTTGGCATTCCGCGGTGTCGGGAGCCCCGGCTGTGTCTGTAGGACACAGGACGGCTCACGTGCGATCGTTTATATAGGGTAGCTTTCTAGATGTGTCATTGCTGGATTAAAAGGCAAGTGCATTAAAGACTTTGATAAAGAAAATGAAGTTGCCCTCCAAAGAGGACACAGTCACTGCCTCAGGGCCCTCCCGACTCCTGAGAGACCTCCTCCTGACTTGACTAAACTCTGCAAGGAGCCCGTTTCCAGATACAGTCACAGCCACAGCCAGGGTTAGGATGTCAGCGTATCTTCTGGGGGACACCGTTCAGTGGCGGAGCTTTGCTGCACAGAGCTGTGGCCACCACTCAGGGACCAGGGCAGTGTGCACTGAGGGGTGCCATGCGGTCAGTGGTGATGCAGGGCACGGGATCCAGCCTGTGTCCCTGTCCCCGGGCAAGGCTTCGCGACCCCCCCAGGGTCCATGGGCATGCTCTTCGCCATCTTGGTCACGTTTGGGAGG